AAAAAGGGCCACTGTGCACCGGTGACTCCGTGCTTCGAAATATTCGTGCTCATAAAACCTTCTGTTTATTTAGAACGTTATAACTGCACCTGTATAGATTCATGTTTTACTCGCACGGCTTCGGAAGGGCTGGTTTGTTTGTTTGTTTATTGGGGCTTTAGGGCGCGTCGACTGCAAAGGTCATTTTGCGCCCACGGAAGGGCTGGATGACGTCTCATAAAGCTAACCAATAACCATGAAGCAGATAGTGCTGGGGCGGGCGTCCGACGGCTAGTAAGTGGCATTGTCGAGATAAAAAACTCGACCACATACACAGTTAGTTAACACACGCACTTCGCTGGCTGAACAGCTACACATAAATAAATACATCATCGAGCGCAAAAATAAGTCCGCTTCAAACAATCAGGAACACGTCGACATCAGCTGTTATCTTCATGTTATCTTGAGTGGCTGCTTGATTGCATGACCGCAAGTTAATCTTCAAAGGCCTTTCATTGGACGTCCTGTCGAGAATCGCACACACTGTACACAGGGTACACACTAGCGATGTCATTTTCCAAAAAATGTCTGACCGATACCGACCGAAACCAAAATTTGGGGAAAATTTCCGACCGAATACCGACCGATAACATCCCAAGCCAAAATTTGACCGAAATTTGACCGAAATTCTATTTGCTATTACTCTACCCCAAAATTAAAATAATTGGTAAATTCTGATGGAAAATAATGGGAAATGGCATTTCAGTCCAAATCAGTTAATTCCTAACCACTGCAAAATACATTTTGTGGTAGAAGTTACATTGCTAAGGGTAGACTAGGAGCACAATACACATTACACATGGACCTCAGCATTTCACAGATTTGGTTAATTAGAATTGTCAAGAATCTGCTGTGGTCTATGTAAGGAAGAATACTCATTCATGTTGCGAAAGCACGATCAATTAGTAAGTCTAATGGTTGGTAATAGGTATGCTCATGACAACATTCCCTAGGAGAAAAGGCAGAATCAAAACACCACAAAACACATCAACATCAACACTGCTTGGAAACCGGCCTTGAGTCTTGAGATGAGGTCTGAGATACTCTACGAAGAATTTAACACTGAAAATCCAGCTGAAAAGGCAGGTATTAGGTAGGTAGCTCTGAGCCTGAATTTCGTCCAAAAAATGAAATGAAAATTCATTAAACTGGCACCATAGGCAGCGGAACGGGGTGGGGGAGGGCACCGGGGCACCGTGCCCTCCTTTGATTTTGGCATTTTAACATTAGCCCTATGGGTGTTGCATGGAAAATATGGGACCAAAAGTAGGCAGTGCCCCCCTTTGATTGAAGGTGTTCCGCCGCTACTGACTGGCACTTTGTCTTATCTTTATAAGGAAACACAATATGCAGACAAAATTACTACAAAGTGGCGCAAAATAGTAGAACCCAAGTAGAACCAAGGATTGACTTTTAAGATTCTGTCTTCCCTTCCCTAACTAAAGAATGCAAGACGATGACGTAATATTTATTTATATGCCCTTTTGGTTGAATTATTGAAGTGAAATTATTTTCTTGCAGTGAATTACACTTACAATGTTGATTTCATTAGAATTCAATATCGTGTTGGACCATTTACATCAATAAAATCATTCACGAGGCAGCATGTAACAATCCAAAACCTTTTTTGCAGAAACTTAATCAGCTGGTTTAAAGTCTCTGTTATGGCGCATCTGTTTCGAAATCCCTTGTGTTTGGAGATGATGTGGAAGATTCCAGAAAGCGGACGTGGCCCTCTGTAGTTTTTATCAAGATTCCCATGTATTTATGCTTTGGTCATCTAGATTTCAAACATTTGGTTGGTACCTGCAATATTTAAGGAGAATGTGGAATAGTAGAACACCTGTGAAATGTAAATGTGATCACTGCTAAGTGCTTAGTGCTAACTGTCCAGTCTTCAGAAACACATTTCAGTAATTCAAGTTCTTTTTGTCCTTGCATTTTTGATGACTGTAGGTATAATGATTTTTGTAGGCAATACTTCTTTGATTACAGGTGATATCTTAACAGTTAGACTGGAATTGAGTTTCAAAATTGTGTGTACTTGTGGGGCCAACTGAGTCAAAATCAGCCTGCTTGTAGTTGTGGTTGCACAATGGGTGGCTGCTGCCTGCTGGGTGGGATGGGTACTGATTTGAAGTTGCCAAAATGTGGCATCTTTTGTAGCTTTTGGGGGAAATTTTGCAACTCTTTATCATTAACATCCCAATAAATTTCATTTTAACTAGGCAAAAATGGAATACTTTCTCTTTTTGAAAATGGTTTTACTGGCAGGGTGACCGAAAGTGTCCGATTTTTTGGGGGCCTGACCGACCGATTACCGAATCGGCCAGCATATCTTTTCGGTAACCGAAATTTTCGGTAACCGATTGACATCACTAGTACACACCACATACAGACACACGTTGCATCAAATTTACTGACGATCCATTGTCAGATCCCCATTGCGTTCCAGTACAAATCAGTGACTTCATAGAGGGATTCGATTGTCCCCTCCCTCCCTCCGTTTACAGACGGATATCACATTCACTAACGTCGATTCCTTCGTTCACGGGCTCGCTGCTGTCCACCGCCGGCGGCGCAGGCGAGCTAGGGAGGTCAGATGTGGCATTGGGAAAACCAGCCAAATTTCGGCAAGTGTCGAGTGACGACAAGTGTGGTAACCCTGTTCGGCGAGTGTGGTGTTGTTTTTGAAACGTCTAATGCCCAGCCTTCCGCCACTTACAAAGTTGAGGTGTCTGGTGCCGACTACTTTGGAGTGAAGAAAATAGACCCTTGTTAATGGGGTGTGGGGGGGGGGGCAAAATTACATTACTATTTAATGCGGTACACCGGGGACACGGGTAACATGATGATAAAATGAATCAACTTTCTACTATGTCTCGGAAAAAAGTAGTTCGAGGTTCATATAGCAATATTTCCATTCAGGGTAGAATCCAGTGAATCATCGGCTGCGATTAATTTAGGCCTGAAAGTTCCGCATAAGTATCACCAATCACGCCACATAAGTACCGCGGACGTGAAAATTATGAGTTAGGCCAGCTGATATTTTAACACACCGGCGGCTATTTTTCTTGTTCGCGTGGCTTGTGAAACTCGTCGCCGAATAGAAATCACCGCAGTCGGTGACTGCTGTTGGTGAAGCTGGCCTCTGATCTGTACGAGAAACATCTTAAATACTTGACCACTTATTTGAAAAAGGAAATTCGAAAAATGTGTCCCCAGGGCAGGTTTTCTCATGGGCAGAAATGTGTTCAGGGCGGTACGATTGCTGACAGTACTTACCTGAGCTTATGCACCACTGGGGTAAATAATTTGCTTGCGAGTCTGCGTAGCTGTCCGATGGTGTAGAGATATTTCGTGCTAGACTTATGATCATATGAGATCTGATGGTCAGGAGTTGCAAATAAAATGACTAAAATCTAAATTTTTTATCTATTTAAATCGTTTGTTAATTATCATCTTTGATTCGCTACCCTTGACCATCAAACTTCATAAACATGTCTAACAATGCTGAACTGATGAGCATTTGTGCTGGCGGAGGTATTTAATGATTTGGGTGGGGTGATTTTACGAGGGTTTCAGTCGTAAAATCACCCTGTAGTGATTCTGGGTGATTTTAATATTTTACGCTTTAAATTCCCCGGGCCGTGAGCGTTCCCCTCCCTCCACGACGAATAATTGCGATAGCCTCCGAACGCTCAAAGATAGCAGCACGCAACTTTCAGTACCTTTCTCCCATCAATGTTATATCTTCTGGAGTAATAAATTGAACCTAACCCCTTCATGATGTCACACGGTCAACATAAGCAAAAACTATTATATCACCTGCTGATTTTACGTTAAAATACTACTATGATTGCATATAAGATGTAACAATCCTATTGTACCACCTAAAACCTACACCGTAACTCATGTTCCCAGCTCGCTGGGGTAAGGGTCTTTGAAATACCCTAAAGAGGGATCGTAACTCGTAAGGAGCGCACAAGTATCAGCCCGCTGCTAATCAACTTACCCACCCCAGGGCACCTGACATGTACAGGCCACTTCTCACTGCGTGGCAGATCTTCACTTTTGTCCACTAAGCCGATAATATCTCGGATCAGTTTTGTCATCAGTCACTCGGAAATTATAAAGCGAAGACGTGATAGGCCTCAAAGCTAAAATTAGGTCCATCATTGACTACGTTTTCCACAAGTTTTGACAGCAATTAGAGACAACAATTTGTGCATAGCCAAAATACAAACTTTTACTTTTGTTGATGCACTAGATTGAGTTTACTTCGCGATAGACCCAAATGAGATTTAGGAAGTGTGGAGCATCGCGCATGTCTACGTAATGATTTCCGATCGTCTGATAACATTAACTTCCAAGCTATTATCGGCTTTGTTGAAAACAATGCCTATTATAGTACGGCAGTGAGACGAGGGCAGCCGGTATGAAAGGTGGAATTAGGTAGAATTTAGCCCCAGGTAAAAGGCCGTCAGCCACTACAAAAGTACCTAGAAACCTATATAGGAGCATCATTGAAGTACAATTGTGCAAACATCCCACCCCTTACAGGCAAAGGAATACTAGGAGACCTAGATGCGCGGTTTGAATGAACGAAAGCCATTGCATGACAGCGAGGCAGGAGGATCAAATGATTACCAAGCTCATAATCTTAACCTCAATGATGGGACATATTGGGACTTACGGATAGGGTTTTGCTTGTTCCCCAGCTTGGTAACCGTGTTCAGTGACTTGGCCGTAGCTTCGAGTGTTTCGGTCTTGGCCTTCTAGTGGCTTCAGGTCGATGACCTTGATTCTTATTTTTACATCTTCTTGTGATGTCTGAATGTTCTGAGTTTCTGAGTTTCTGATGCCATCCGAACCGCGCACACTTGGTTTTTCAACCCGGTCGAGTTACTTCTAACTTCCGTTTAAGGACTCGTCGATTTCCATCTTAAAAAGAACAGAACTGGTATTAGTGCCAATCTAAAAAGGCCTTTATTGTAACGCCTGAACATGATGAACTGCGCGGACCGAGCGTCGGTGGCCGGTGCCGGTGGGATGACCAGGTGCCGGCCCCGACCAGCCACCGACGCCCAGTGCACGCGCAAACCAAATGAACGTCCGCCGCCGTCCAGGCCCGGCAGACCGAAAACCAATGAGCACTCTCATACCCACAGCACGACACAACACAGTGATGCGGCCGCCCACGGGCGACGGCCGCGCCCCCGTCCCAGGCCACCGGTCCGGCCGCAGCACACTCACACACGCACTCACTCAGCCAGACGCTCGCTCCCACACAGTCAGTCAATAAGACCATTCATACAGCCAGACACACCGGCGACCGGACTGTGCAGTGCACCCCACAGACTGCAGAGCGCTGCAGACTCGCCCCAGTGAGCCGGACACGCAGGCACACACACAGTATGTGGACAGGAGGATCTTCGGGAGAGGCCGGAACGGAGGAGAAGCCGGTAGGTATGCATGTGTGTGTGTGCGAGGGGAGGGTGGCGCGCGGGAGAGAGGGCGCCGCCGTCAGCGGCCGCCGCTGGCTGGCCGCGCCGCGCTCAGTACCTGTACCGACCTGGAAGACGAGAGAGGACAGCACCGGTCAGGCCGGCCGGACCGCAGCGGACCGGCCGCGGCGTCCCACCACCACCGCCTCCAGCAGCGGCACAGACACAGTGACCGAGAGCCCGCCGCCGACGGGCCCAGGACACCGCCAGCCAGCCGAAACAATCAGCCAATGGTGTGCTGCGCTGTCCGTGTCACTCAGTAACAAATGCACCGAATATTTTCGGCACTGTACACACAGCCAAACCCCTTCCTCCCTTAACCCGCGCCCTGCTGGGGGGGAGGGGTGTTTGAACACCCCCCCCTTGTGGTTTTTCGCGAATATCTCAAAAACGGCGGCGCTCCGCGCCGCCGTTTTTGGTACACCTTATCATACATCAATTCTACACATGTTGTGAAAATTTCAGACCAAGGTCATTCAAGGTCAGGTCACCAGGTCACTTGAAGTGACCTCACCTCATAAAAAGTTTCAATGTCTGTCATAGCTACACCGAGTGACCGATCGCTTTGAAACTTTCAGCGATTGCTAAGAGCAATAGCATGTACAAAATGTATATCTCAGAATTTTGATATCGATGACCTAAGGTCAGGTCAATTTTGCGACCTCCCCATTATAGGTCAATGGGAGAAAGTTGAAATGCGCCTCTTTTGGACGAAAGACATTATAAACACTCCCAAACACTGAATTACAAGTGGTTTAGACACACTGAACATGAAAATGGTGTCCGTGACCCCTGTTTATGCCCTGAGGTCATCTTAGGTCACGAATGGTATCTAACAGTTTTTCGCAAATAACTTTTGATAGAGGCATGCTAGAGCGATGAAAACGCCTTAGATGTGTTCAGCTCGACGATACGGATCGACTGATATGCAACATGACCCTTTCCGGTCAGGTCATGACCTTGACCTGAGGTCAAATTTTCAAGTTGACCTTTCAAGGTCAAGTTATAGTTCATTCGATGCGTCTTGACGAGAGGAACACGATGCCGGTAACAGTAAGCTCGTACAAGGTTCGGGTCAAAAGTTATTGCAGAAAAACTGTTTCCGAAAAAAATCGGTTATTTTTGCAGTTTTTGCCCCCTGCAGGCAAAACCGTTGACGTTAGGTCAAATCTGAGACGATTACTCAGAAAGGGCGTTAATAGGGCTATCGATTGCGCTTTTCCGCGGCGCTGTAGCTCTATTGGTTCCCGAGTTATGCGTGGGCTTCTTGGAAATTGTCGACATTCGACCTGGAAATCGGCGAAATTTTGCCTTCAATGACCTCTGGTGACCTGACCTTTGACCTGACCAAAAAATTGACCGAAGTGATTTCGTCATTATTTTTGACGCTCTTTCGAACGCCGCCTTCCGCGTATCGCTACGTGGCCCAGGAGCCGAGTTAGAAGGGGGGGGGTGTTCAAACACCATCCCCCCCCCCAGCAGGGCGTGGAAATCCAGGACCCCCAGCCGGGCGCGGGTTAACTACAATAACATTTAATGGAGAGAAAATTAATCAGTCTTCGTAACAAATTGATCTTCAATTAACTTTTACTTTGGCTTCTTCAGATACACGGAAAATAGCAAACGTCAAAAGGAAAAAAATCAGCACACAAAAGAAATAGCACGACGGAGGCGTTTGCTATTCCACCACTGAGAAGGGACGAAAACTGTAAAGCCTACGGTAAAAACGAGTTGCCCACCTCCCCGAGCATGCAAACCTTCAACCGACACGAAACACATAGCGCACAGACACGGACGGAAGCAGATGAAGGAGATAATAGTTCGAACAGCATACATAGGGTTCTTGATAGGAGTTGCCTAACGATTTTAGACAACTCGCCGTAATTATGGACTCAGCTAACATGATTCGTACTTTTTCCAAGAGATGAAAGGAATGCGATCAATTACTGCAAAAATGCTTCTCATATCTCGAGACTTATATGATCGGGGTAAGGGCAGAATGTAGCATTTTAGGGGCAGGGGATAAGTAGCAAAACTTAAATAGGTAATTTAAACAAAAATTTGACTTCAATAGCTAACTGTCATCGCTAGCAACGGCTGGCAAGTCTTAATATAAAATCATTCTTTGGCACGTACTCACCTTGTTATGCAAGCGATTGTGCACGCTTCAACGATACCAAGACGCCACCTTTATAATTTGTCAGAGGTAGCAGAGTTAACTGCCTGTGCTCAGTTCTCACCTCCGTCATATTCACGGCGTGGCGAGTAGGAGCGGCTGCGCGAGCGGCGGTAGCGCCGGCCGCCTCCGTAGTAGGGCGACGGCGAACGCCGGTAGTCGTCCCGCCGGTAGTCGTCGCGCCGATAGTCGTCCCGGTAGTAGTCGTCACGCCGGTCGTAGCCGCCGCGCCGATCGTAGTCGCGCCGGTCGTCGTAGCGGTCGTAGCCGCCGTGGCCACCGCCGTAGCCACCGTAGCCGCGACGGCCCCGGGAGCGACGGGAGAACCTGGCCCAGTCAACAACCGTTAGAACAGAGTACACTTACACTTCGCAAGTGAACAGTTTTTTTTTTTACGCCAACTAATAAAGCAGGATTTCATGTCAGGATCTTGACAGGATCTATAAGAAAAGGATGTGGATTAGATGCATGAACTGTATTATGTAGCCTATTCGTTGAAAACTTTTTTCAAAGATGAAAAATGATACCATTTCTGATTTTTGGGATAAAAATATTTTTCCTTTAGGTGTGATCTTCCACCCAAAATTTTGAAAAATAAAAAGTGAGGGAGGGGAGAGAGCGAGAGCGAGAGCAAGAGCGAGAGCGAGAGCGAGAGCGAGAGCGAGAGCGAGAGCGAGAGCGAGAGCGAGAGAGAGAGAGAGAGAGAGAGAGAGAGAGAGAGAGAGAGAGAGAGAGAGAGAGAGAGAGAGAGAGAGAGAGAGAGAGAGAGAGATGTGCAGTGTACACACAACACTGTCACAAAGCACCATAATAAGGACTTACTGAGAGGGACGGCCCATGTAGATTCCGGGCGTCGGTGTGTGCGGCCGCTTGGTGATGGAGAAGTCCACGCGGATCTTGCGGTTATCGATCTCGATGCCGTTGCAGTCCTCCTTGGCACGCTTGGCATCCTCCAGATTCTCAAAGTAGACGAAGGCGAAGCCACGGGACCGGCCCGTCTGTCGGCGAAATATCGGACATGTTCTTTCTATTTGTTTGTTGCGGGTAAGGGGCGGATATGTTCTTTCTACGATAGGAATGTATTTACGTGATATAACATAAATAACATAGACTCTTAGACATAAGATCCCAGTAAGATCCCAGTGCTGAGTGGGCTAGCTGCGGTCATTTATATATAAGCCTTGGTTTCGTGCTGTGACGATACTCGCATTGAGGTGAGGCACCGGTTGCCACACGGATAAGAACGAACTGTGCCGGAGGTCGTCAACGGCGAAAAATGACCGAGCAGAAATTCCACAACCCCTCCAAGGGTTCGAGAAGTGATACGTTTATCAAATGAATTGACGACCAACGAACTTTGAAAAGCCCATTCAGTAGGCCGTTACGTTTGGTCATACCTAAAAAATCGCATTCCTTCATTCTTCCCAACACACGACAAAGCGTCATCTCAACGTGTCACTCTTCACATGGACAAATTTAGAAACAAATCGCTCACGAGCATTTAAATAAAACGCGAGTAACTGTCAAATGACTGCAGAAACCCACTTCCCACTACCTTGCCATATGACATAGCTAAGCACAGTTGAATCCAAGATGCTTCAGTAAGAAAGCAAGCCTTGACTGACCTGGGCATCGGTGACGATGGTGATCTCGTCGATGTTGCCGTACTTGGAGAAGACGTCACGCAGGTGCCGCGTCTGGGTGTACAGACTCAGTCCAAATACGCCCAGGCAGCGGGTGGCAGACGGATTTTCCTGTGGCACACCGACCAGCACCGTCAAACCGCATCGAGCTGCGACTGACCACACTCTGATGGTAGCATGATAGCACTCAGCAGCAGTATTCAGAGTTCACACGAAACATGGGAAGAAAGTAGAAACACGGTTTAAAATATTGAGGTATGTCTGACACAACTGGCAATCCCAGCCAGCCCTCGCTGACACTGCACTCACCCTGTCGCCGAGGTGGCGGCGTCGGTTGGAGCCCGGCGACCGGCTGCGCTGCCGGGTTCGCTTCGGCGAGTAGCTGCGTGACCGGTCCCGTTCCCGCGAGCCGGACTTGGACCTGAAACCGGGCACACATTTCAGAATTGTGATTATCGTTGGAGCTTAGGGGCACTGCATCATCTGTCGCACAACAGACAAGAAGCACCTTCGGTGACAGTAGTCACTATTGTAATGTGATAATATGACATTGTAACGGCGATACACTCACCGTGAGGCAGCCCGTTTGTTACGCCGTTCCGGGCTGTACGAGTCCGCTGAACCGTTTGGTGTTCCCTCCTTCACATTTCGCTCCGGTGAACTCTGAAAAAGGACATAATCAAAAGTGGGCTTCTCCAGCAACAAAGAAATTAGATGAGAGCATGTGATAACACACCAGTAAATACCACATCTCTGACAACACTTGGCTAGTGGGTGAAAATGTGCTGCACCCTGTGGTTTTTGCGAGCCCCACCGGCCAGTGTCTCCTTCCAGACAGTAATGTGATCCTCAGCCAAGCATCCGCCATCCCGTCACCTACGCAGACTTGTAAGCGATTCAACTCTGATTGAATCGATTCTCATGAATTGCTTGAAAATGCCGACTCACTGTGATTGAGTCGGTTGAATCACCTCTTGTCACCTCTTGTCACCATATGAATCCTGATTGAATCGGTCACACATGGCAACTGCAAGTGATTGAATCGGCAACTCATCGATTCAAGTTGATTGAATTAACAAAATGATTCAATCACCATGTGCTGAAAATTGAAGTTATGACCATATTTAGTACTATATTATGTACAAATATATGTGGCATTTGCGTCATAGTCACACACAATGCACTGCAAAATTTTTAGGTATTTTGTCAGTATTATAAATGCGCACAGCTATCATTATTGAAAAAAAAAACATAAAAATTTTGTTTTAAGTTTTTAATCAAACTGTAAACACAAATTATACATAAATGTCAGTGCATGTAGATGAAAAAATGAATGTAATGTTTCTTTCCATTGCCCTAAAATCAGTATAGTAATCAAGTTAACAGTAGCAGTAAGCAGGCGCACATTGCTCAACACACATGTTTTAGATATCATGTTAATCTTTATATTTTCAATACCCTGTTTCATCAGGACATTTGTGAGTAAGCAAAACATATTGATGAATACACAATGCATGTTTACATTATAATTTGGTAACCTTATACTGATTTGATTTTGGGGTAAGGGTCATAAATTGCTTGATCTAACCCATGGTCTTCTCACTCACTTTACATTTCCCAGCAGAATCAGCGTTTACCTATCACCGTAAATAATTGGAATACCTTGGCTTATGAGCGTTGATGGATCTGTCACATATTGCCGTGGTGGCTCCCAATTACACAAAAGTAGATACATACCCTACTAGGTATTAACCCGCGCCCTGCTGGGGGGGGGTGTTTGAACACCCCCCCTTGTGGTTTTTCGCGAATATCTCAAAAACGGCGGCGCGGAGCGCCGCCGTTTTTGGTACACCTTATTATACATCAATTCTACACATGTTGTGAAAATTTCAGACCAAGGTCATTCAAGGTCAGGTCACCAGGTCACTTGAAGTGACCTCACCTCATAAAAAGTTTCAATGTCTGTCATAGCCACACCGAGTGACCGATCGCTTTGAAACTTTCAGCGATTGCTAAGAGCAATAGCATGTACAAAATGTTTATCTCAGAATTTTGATATCGATGACCTAAGGTCAGGTCAATTTTGCGACCTCCCCGTTATAAGTCAATGGGAGAAAATTGAAATGCGCCTCTTTTGGACGAAAGACATTATAAACACTCCCAAACACTGAATTACAAGTGGTTTAGACACACTGGACATGAAAATGGTGTCCGTGACCCCTGTTTATGCCCTGAGGTCATCTTAGGTCACGAATGGTATCTAACAGTTTTTCGCAAATAACTTTTGATAGAGGCATGCTAGAGCGATGAAAACGCCATAGATGTGTTCAGCTCAACGATACGGATCGACTGATATGCAACATGACCCTTCCCGGTCAGGTCATGACCTTGACCTGAGGTCAAATTTTCAAGATGACCTTTCAAGGTCAAGTTATAGTTCATTCGATGCGTCTTGACGAGAGGAACACGATGCCGGTAAAAGTAAGCTCGTACAAGGCTTGGGTCAAAAGTTATTGCAGAAAAACTGTTTCCGAAAAAATCGGCTATTTTTGCAGTTTTTGCCCCCTGCAGGCAAAACCGTTGACGTTAGGTCAAATCTGAGAGAATTACTCAGAAAGGGCGTTAATGGGGCTATCGAATGCGCTTTTCCGCGGCGCTGTAGCTCTATTGGTTCCCGAGTTATGCGTTGGCTTCTTGGAAATTTTCGACATTCGACCTGGAAATCGGCGAAATTTTGCCTTCAATGACCTCTGGTGACCTGACCTTTGACCTGACCAAAAAATTGACTGAAGTGATTTCCTCATTATTTTTGACGCCCTTTCGAACGCCGCCTTCCGCGTATCGCTACGTGGCCCAGGAGCCGAGTTAGAAGGGGGGGTGTTCAAACACCCCCCCCCCCCAGCAGGGCGTGGAAATCCAGGACCCCCAGCAGGGCGCGGGTTAAAAAACAACCACCTTCCCATCACGTCCACCATCACCCAAAAACTATTGTTATCATAGATCAACAAACAATCTTTATCCGTTTGGTGTTCTTCACCTTCTAGTTTTGAGGACCGCTAACAGTTTTGCATTCGATGCTAAATTCGGATTAGAGATTTGCCAGACTGCTCGCAATATTTGCCACATGCAAACCACGCAAAATACGCTTTCATGTCGCAGTTGCGTCAATATACGCTGCAACTACCTAGTGCTGGGCTAAATGCATATTGCCAAACCAATTTAGATTTCTACTGTTGGATATTTTTTCTTTAATGAATTGGACAGGATAAAAAACTGTTTTACACGCATGCACAAATATGCTTAATTGAATCTAAAAATATAAACTATGTATTTTATCCATGGTTCTGCTGCTAAATTAAAGATGGCTGCCCACTTAGCGCATGCGTACTTCAGTACTAAAGGCCTGGCTACACTATGCGTGTTCTGCGTGCGTTTTTGCGAGCTTGCATGTTTTGCGTATATTATATAAACGTTAATAAAGCCTTTTATGATAATTTAATAATTAATTTTTTTATAAAGCAATACTCAGTCAATTGGTTCATTTAATAAACATATCGTTGAGTACTGGAACATTTCCTGAAAGTATGAAGATGGCTGTGGTGAAGCCATTATACAAATCTGGAAGTAAAAATATATTTAGCAACTATAGACCCATTAGTATCCTTCCCTATCTTTCCAAACTTCTAGAAAAGATTGTACACCAGAGAATCAATGCATACCTCATACAGAATGACATATTATGTAAGGATCAATTTGGCTTTCAAAAATCCTTATCAACATACATGCCTATAGTACTCCTGCAAGAACGAATAACAAAAAGCATGGAAAATGGGAAAATGTCCTCAGCGGTATTCATTGACCTTAAAAAAGCATTTGATACAGTGAACCACAACATACTCATCAGCAAATGTCGTAAATACGGATTTACTGGTCGTGCTCTTCGCTTTATCAAGTCATATCTCACAAACAGACAACAATGTGTAGAATTTAAAAGTACTAGATCCTCTTTTCAAAGTATTAAGCTAGGAGTGCCCCAAGGCTCTATCCTAGGCCCCTTACTCTTCCTTATATACATAAATGACTTGGTGAAAATACACAGGAACTACAAGAAAATATGAATAAAGAACTTGAAGCTGTATCCATTTGGCTTCAAGCAAACAAACTCACACTCAACGTACAAAAAACCATTTACCAAGTATACAACCAAATGGGTAATATCATTAATTTGAACATTATGATACATGGTGAAAAAATTGAAATAGCAGAAAAAGTAAAATATCTAGGCATCACTATTGACCCTGCCTTGAAGTGGAAATACCACATCGATAACATAGCAATCATTATCAGTAGAAATATTGGAATCTTGAGTAGAGCGAAGTACTTTCTTCCTGAAAAGTCATTACTCTTGCTCTACAACTCACTGATTCTTCCTTACTTAAACTATTGCTGCCTAATCTGGGGTTTCACATATCCAACTTATCTCCACAAAATCGAAGTATTACAAAAACGAGCAGTTCGAATTATAGTAAATGAACATCGTCTTGCACATACTATGCCCATATTTCGTAAGCTCAATGTTCTTAAAGTAAACGCACTAGCTAGACAACAACTTATCATGTTCATGTATCGAAAATTCGCTTCACATTTACCATCACAACTTAACCAATTGTTTGCTACAGTAGATCAGGATAATATAAGAACAAGAAATAGACAACATTTTCACGAACCCTTCTCGGCAAAACGTTATCGTGCACAAATAGCATCATGGATAGGACCGCGTGTCTGGAATAATGTCGTTGCATCCCAATTCTCTATAACAACCATTAACCCGCGCCCTGGTGTGGGTCTGAGCCACCTTCGCCCTGGTGGGGGGGGGCCAAAATGACCCCCCCCGTCTAACTCGAAAACGAAGAGGGCTAGGAAGACGCAGAAAAAAGCAAACGAAAGCCCATAACAAGTACGTTCGAAAGTATTTCGGTCATTTTTTCGCTAAGGTCAATATTGAGGTCGCTAGAGGTCATCATAGGTCAAATTTCAGTGTTTTCGGTGTTGCCGGACATATTCCGCTGTAGCTCGGAAACTAGAAGAGCTAGAGAGCCGCGGAAAAAAGCAATCGATAGCTCTTTTCAAGCTCTTTCGCCAAGGTTCGTCAGATTTGACCTCAGCTCAACGGTTTGGCCTACAGAGGTCATGCAAGGTCAACTTGGCAAATTTCGTTGAAAATGTTTTTAACTATAGCATGCATTCACGAGAAAATAGAGAAACGATTCATGCACCATCGTGCTTGGCTCGTCGAGACGCGTCGAATGATATATAGTTTGACCTCGAAAGGTCATTTTGAAAATTTGACCTCAGGTCAAGGTCATGACCTTACCGAAATAGGTCATGCTGCATATCATTCGATCCGCATTGACGAGACAAACACGATAAACGTCGAACGGAGTCTCTATCTCTATTCAATAACAAGTAAGTGCAGAAAAACCGCTGGTGACCTCTGGTGACCAGGGAGATGACCTAGCGTGACCTCAGCGAGGTCACAAGCAAATGGTTTCACATGGGCTGTGATTTGCTGACCCAAGACACTTCAATAACGAAATATAGGAACAATCACGCCCGATTTAGCTGAAAAACAACTACTTTTCGATTCTCCCATTGACTTATAA